TACGATTTCAAGAACTGGTTTATGAAACGTATAGTGATATTCTCTGTGAAATGATTATGACCTTATTCTGCGAAAGTGCGGTTCTAACATGAAATTCGTTAATTAGAGGAAAAAACTTATTTTCCCATGACAGGCCTTCTATATATTTACACGCCCTCATTTTAACATTTCTATTAACTTTTGGTCAACCAAAGTGAGAACAAAGGAAATCTAGACTTGTTAGCGTGAAATGCGTAATTTTTACAAGAGTGAAATTGCCGCTCGAAGAAACAAACCAAAATGGCAACCAAGTGCGTGTGTGTTTCCGATTATCAAATCGAAAAGACTATTGGCAAGGGTAATTTTGCAGTGGTGAAGCTCGCAACACACACAATAACAAAATCCAAGGTAAGGAAGCCCGGCCAACACCTAGGTTTATCTTCGCACCCGTCTGAAGCCCAATGTTATCTCGACACACTTCATGATTTGAGAGCCTTATGTCGTCTCCAGAGGGGAAGGACGGACACGAGAACCTCCTCGACGGCGAAAATGAGAGGGAAAGGTCGTGGGGAAGGGAGGTCGTGGGGAGGGAAGAAGCCAGGGACAGACAGACACTTGTCACACGCGAGACATCTTGGGAGAAACATCAACCACCTTACACTGGCATTCCTCCTTCCCCCCCCCTCCCCCTCGCCTCCTTCCCTCCCCCAAACGCCCCCTTCCCCTCCCCCCTTTTTATCTTGGTTCTCCTTCCTCCTTATCATATTCTCCTTACCTATGCTCTTTTCCTCCTTCTTTTTTACTCTTTTCCCTTCCCCTTCTTTCCTTTCCTCCCTATCTATTTCCCCTCCTTCTGTCCTCTTTCCCCTCCTCCCTTCCTTATCCCTCCATTCTTTATCGAGTTTCCTTCGCTCATTCCTCTTTTTCCACCCAATTTCTCCATTCTCTCCCTCTTTCTCCCGCATCTTACCTCTTTCCCCTCCCTCTGAATCTCCCTTACCCTCTTACCTATCTACTGTCCAACTAGCCTTTTTCCTCTCTCTGTTGCCTTCCCTCCTCTTGGTTTTTATGGCTTTCCCTTTCTTTTTTTGTCTGTTCCTCCTCCCTCTTATTGCCTTCCCCTTCCTCTTACCTGTTTATACTCTCTCTCGTATCTGTTTTCCCCTCCCTTCTCGATTTCCTATTATATTCCTTCTCCTCATATTTTTTATGCATTTTTTGGGAAAGGCAGATATATTTTTGTAGGCCTATGTTCTGTAGGTCTTGAGTCTTGGGTTGAAATTAATTTGGATACAGGAATGAGTTTTAGGTTATTATGCCTTTTGTTTTTCTTTCGTGCTGCAGTTTTAATATGCTAGATATATATAGTATTTTTTTATTTTTAATTTTGGTTGTTCTTTATCTGCAGGGTTTACAACTTGAGTGTTTGTATAGTAGATTGTGCGTTGGGTATTACGTCTAAACTGCATGTTTTGAAATGATAAACAATACAGGCTGTATTTTCATAGATTTTTGTATTATGAATGTGAGGAATGTTCAATATATTATGGTTAATTCAATGTAAATTAGTGTAATGATCTTTTATTATTATTATTTTTTAAAGAGAACTTGGTTTATATACATGGTTTGTAAATGTACATTATTATTGTTTATGAATTTACATTATTTCTCATTATATTACTTATTTTTAGTTCCTGTCAAAGTTATCCACAGAAAAGAATATTTGATTTGTTCTTCAGACTCGATCTGTTTATGTAGTGAAGGATATTCAAGTAGATATCTATGGTAGATGTTTAGAGACACCCACATCTAATTTCATAAAGGGATTTATTTTTCTTGTAATTATCTATATTCACTTGAATTTTGGTAGAAGGCCTGTAATCTGAACTACAACCCATTTATGGTGCAGTATCAAGTTAGTATAATGGCCTCTGCACTTTGTGCTCCAGCAAACCTCCCCTATGTATATTCTAGGAAGGGAGAACTCAAGCTGATTCCTAATTTATAGTAAATGTCTAGGGATGTCTACCAGTGCCATCTTGCCACGATATATATGGTTGAGGGTTATTACCTTTACCAAAACACCATAAGTGTGGAGTGAACTTACTAGTGGGTACAGGTTTTCTTTTGTGCATCTGCTAGATATATGGCTGTATCAGTTAAATTATTTTCAAGTTTTTGTTATTGGATAGTACATTGGATTGAAATGCAAGAGTGAAGTGGAGAGTGACATGGTTAGCTGAAAAATATATTTGAATTATTCTGTATATGTGATCAGTTTTGTAAGTGAGAATTGAAAATGCATGGGAGAAATAAAAGTGCATATTCAGACCAGCTCCTTTGCTAAATCTTGGAATTAGAATTCTCAATAAGTGGTGAAAAAACATTTAAGACTCTGAAATAGAAAAAGGAAGTGTGATTGTGAAAAGAATTGGAAACTTCTATTTTCATATTTCAAGCTTGGTTAATTTGGTAGACTTCCAAAGAAACAGTTCATATTCTGAAACAAATTTTGTGAAAAAGAGAAGGATGTTATATATTCAAAAAAGAAAAAATTGTGCATGTTGTGAATAGAAAAGTGGAATGAAGTAATAAATGTGGAATGTTGAAGGATTGTGTAGTGAATTAAAGAGGAAAAGGATATAAAGCACAAGAAAAAGAAATTTGAAGGTTACGTACAACTCAGAAATTAATACCTTTATGTGAAAGGAAATTTTTGGCTGTATGGTTGGTGATATATCTTAATTGCATAATTCTGATTGTTATCTTCAGTATTATTGAGTTTTTTTTTTGATGAAATGTAATTACTATTGTTGTTATTGTCATTATTAGTGTTATTATTTTTTGTAATAATTTCTTTTCAACTTGTTTCAGTGTTTCATTTCTTTACAATTTTATTGTTAACATTTGAAGCTATTGTCATAATGTTGTCTTCATGATATTGATATTATTGTTGATTTTCCTATTTTTAGTGTTAGTATTATTATCAGTGTTTTTGTCATTATCATTGTGATTATTTTCATTTTTATTATAATAATAATAATTGTTATTATAACTGTTATTTTCATTGTTGATAGTAATAACAATAATGATAATGATAATGATAAAAGAATAATGATGATAATGATAATGATAATAATATTGGTAATGATGATGATGATGATGATATTATTATCATTATTATTATTATTATTAATATTTTTTTTTTACCTGTTATGCTTACTTTTCTATTATTATTATTGTTCTTATTCTTCTTATTATTATTTTATTTATTGGTATTGTTATTTTCATAATCATTACTGCATTGACATTATTATTATTATTATTATTATTATTATTATTATTATTATTATTATTATTATTATTATTATTATTATTATTATTATTATTATTATTATTGTTGTTATTATTGTTATTATTGTTATTATTGCTCTTGTTATAATTGTAGTCATCATCATCTTCATTATCATTGTTATTATTATTATTATTATTATTATTATTATTATTATTATTATTATTATTATTATTATTATTATTATTATTATTATTATTATTATTATTATTATTACTATTACTACTACTACTACTATTATTACTATTATTATTACTATTTTTATTATTATTATCCTAATAATGATAATGATAATGAAAATGATAACAAAAGTAATAAAAAATAATAATAAAAATAATTCAAAGTTATAATGCTAACAATAATAATAATTACAAAAAACAATAGTAATAAAAAAGTCATAATAATAATGTTATTGGTATTCTAATTATTATCATCATTATTATGATTATTATGATTATTATTGATATAATTATTATTATTATTGTTATGTTTATTATCATTATTATTATTGTTATAATTGTTATAATTTCCATCATTATCATATTATTATTATTGTTTTTATTATCATTATTATTATTATTATTATCATCATCATCATTATTGATAATATTATTATTATATTATTAATGCTATTACTATCATTATTGTTATTACTTTTCTATTATTATTATAGTTATTATTATTATTATTAGTAGTAGTAGTAGTAGTATTGTAATAATGATAATAATAATGATTGTTATTATTATCATTATTGTTATTATTTTATGATTATTGTCTGTTATTGTTATTATTATTATTTTTTTATTATTATTATTTTTATTGTTGTTGTTATTATTATTATTATTATTATTATTATTATTATTATTATTATTATTATTATTATTATTATTATTATTATTATTATTGTAATTGATACTATTATTATATTATTGATATTATTATTATCATACTGTTGATATTATTATTATCATACTGTTGATATTATTATTATTATACTGTTGATATTATTATTATCATACTGTTGATATTATTTCTATTATTCGAATTACTATTATATTATTATTGTTGTTAATTTTATTATTATTATTATTATTATTATTATTATTATTATTATTATTATTATTATTATTATTATTATTATTATTATTATTATTATTATTATTATTATTATTATTATTATTAATTATTATTATTATTTATTATATTATTATTATTATGATTCATATCATTATTATAATTATTATTATTACTATTGTTATCATTATTATTATTGTTATTGTTGTTTATTTTTATTGTTGCTATTTTAATTTGATTGTTATTGTCTAATTATTATTATTATTATTATTATTGTTAGTATTATATTATTTTATTATATTATATTATTATTATTATTATTATTATTATTATTATTATTATTATTATTATTATTATTATTATTATTATTATTATTATTATTATTATTACTATTATTAATTTTATTCTATTATTGTAATTATTATTATTATTACTACTATTGTTGTTATGATTATAATTATTATCATAACAATCAATATTTTTATTGTTTTTATTATCATTATTATTATTGTTATTATTATTTTTTTTATCAAAATAATTGTTGTTATTATTATTATTATTATTATTATTATTATTATTATTATTATTATTATTGTTATTATTATTATTTTTGTTGTTATTATTTTCGTTGTTATTGTTATTATTATTGTTATTATTACTCTTATTATATTATTACTACTATTACTATGAGATTAGTACTGATATTACTACTACGACTATTGGTATGATAATAATGATAATAATGGTAATAATAATAATAATAATGATTATAATAATAATGAAAGTAATGATGATAATAGTAATAATAATGATAGTAATAATGATCATCATCATCATCATCATCATCATCATCATCATCATCATCATCATCATCATCATCATCATCATCATCATCATCATCATCATCATCATCATCATCATAATAATAATAATAATGATAATGATAATGATAATGATAATAAAATAATAATGATAATAATAA